AAGAGGATCCAGGCTGGTTGTCCCAGTGTAACCATAGTGACAGGAGCAGCAGGGGGGTGGGGAGGAGTGAATTCAGGGACCACCCAGGAGTGAAGGGGGGACAACCCAGCTGATTCAGAATGAGGGGGGCAGGATCTGGGGGGAAGGGTCCCCCACAGCTCTCCATAAAGCCCTCTCCAATTTTCCAGAAAGGGGAGAGAACCAACTTCTGCCCCACCAGGCTTGCCCAGTTCCCTCTAAGAGCCTCCCTCTAAGAGCATCTCCCCAAACATTTCATACAGTTTGGGGGGAGGATTCAGTGCTGGATTCCCCCCCCAGAATGAGGGGGGCAGGATCTGGGGGGAAGGGTCCCCCACAGCTCTCCATAAAGCCCTCTCCAATTTTCCAGAAAGGGGAGAGAACCAACTTCTGCCCCACCAGGCTTGCCCAGTTCCCTCTAAGAGCCTCCCTCTAAGAGCATCTCCCCAAACATTTCATACAGTTTGGGGGGAGGATTCAGTGCTGGATTCCCCCCCACATATTCAGGTTGCTATGGAAATTGCTAGTCCCATGTCTCATGCACTGGGGAAGATCCAGGCTGACCTTTGACCCCACTGGCTGTTGGCCCCCTTCCTCAGAACAACCAGGTTGAGGAGGAGGAGGAGTCAAGAAGCAGCCCCACCTGGAAGGTACAGACATATGGGGTGCCAGGATGTAAACAGGGAACCCAGCACATGGGAACAGAAACAGCAGTAGGGAGCTTTGTGTTGGGTGTGAGGAGCACTCATAGTAGCCCAGCGCTGGGGTAGCAGGGGCTATAGGTTGGGAGTGAGGGGCACTGGCAGAGCTGGGGGAGTCCAGAGCTGGGCTGCCAGGGTCTGAGAGTCAGGAATGGGGGGCACTGGCAGAGCTGAGGGGAGCCCAGGACTGGGCTGGCAGGGGCTGCTGTTTGGGAGTGAGGGGCACTGGCATGGGGCAGGGCTGGCACAAGGTTAGGACACGTGTCTCTGACAGGACGTGGCGTTTCCTGTTTTGTTTCCTAGACAGGATGTTGTGAGGAAGTC